GCCATTTGTCAAACAAGTAGAATTCACGTGGACCGCACAACAATATTTACGTTATTAATTATTCGAATTTTTAAATTTCATGGATTTTTTAAAAATATTTATTAGCACAATATTTACATTATTAGTTATTCCAATTTCATAATTTTTTTTTATTTAAATCAATGTTCGTTTAAATCTTTGTCACTAATCATTCGACTCGTGTAAATACGAATTAAAAACAAGTATCAAAAACTTAAGAGAGGTTAATTATTGATTATAAAATTAGAAGAGCATAGATTAACTTTTGCGTTTTTTGCAAATGTTAACGATAGTATTGTTACAATAATTTCATACCCATTTTTCGAAAAATATACAAATTTTGCATTTGAATCGCTTTTTGAATCGTTTCTTTCTCGATATTCAAAATATCTTTTTTTTTCGATGAAATGTCTTAAAATTATCGTACTGTAACCATAGTTACAAGACTAACAGCCAATGTGAATGCAAAGTCTTTTCATTTAAAGGATTTTTATTGCTTATTTATAATTTATAAATTATATAAATATATTCAGAACATCATATAAAATCGGTACTCATTCCAACGAATAATCGATGTATCCACTATTCCTTTAATGCTGTTGTAAAAAATAAATTCACTATTAAAAATGGCAGGGATTATAGTATTGGACGAATATTTTATTAGTAATTTAACCTTTATCCTCAAATTATGGAAAAACGAATAAAAGAAAAAATTAATTTGCCTTGTTAAATTATCTATAAATGTATAAATTCTTGTGAGCAACGAAAACAAAAGTATACTCTCGTGAGCCGCATGCCGCCAATTTGACATCCCTTGTGTATTCGAAAAATTTCGCAAAATTAACAAGGGACACGAGAAAACTTGTTGGGGAGCGAAAATCTATTTGCAATGCCATTAGTTGGGACGCGAGGTCGATGCTCCGGAGTTTGGCGACAGAAAAACGAGACGAACCAGAGGACATATTCAAAGGAGGGCGCTCGCGGCAGAGGAAACGCCCGTGAAAGTGTTTTCCGCTTTGTCGCGGAGAAACTGCGGGGATAGCATTGCAGCAGCTCGTATTCAGGCTTAAATAAGCCGATAGAACTGATATTCCTCGACGATCCGGCACGCTGAGTCAGCAACACTGGACATATAGTACATATACGATATAGTTTCATCAGAGTTGCCGTTGGATGCGATGGATCGTGAACACGAACGACAAACTTTTCTGTAGCCTTTTTTTCTCATGCTATAGGAGATATAATGAAACGAAAAAAATCAAAATTGTACGATTATTTTTAATAACGAAAAAAGCTTTTGTATTTTATATGGAAAAGATAGTTTTTGTAAAATTAATTCTATTATATTATCAATTGTAATATATTTTCTTTTTTCCCTTTATGACTGTGCTACATGATTTTATGATTTTATTGATATTTCGAATATGCAAAATGATGTTTATATAGTATAATTAAGAAAGTTAAAAATAAGTAAAAGATAATTGGAATGAATTTGTTTACCTAAAATTACTTGTTAAAAATAAAAATTATATATCGTAGATTACTAGAAATCAATGAAAATAATTTTTAAATAATCTGCAGCATTTTTAAAAAAATTAACATAATTTTTTTTATATCATGCAAAGAACTTTGTCACAGTTATTCTCAAAATAACTTATCGCTTTCAAGATTGAATCTTAAAGTTGTCTGATTGCATATATCGTATCGTACGGAAATTCTCGAAAATTCTGCACGGTGACTAGATGATAAAATACAGTTTTGCAAAGAGAATCGCGGTGATTCCTGTACGAGAAAATCGATCCCTCAACGAATCTGAGGAAGAAGTTTAAAGAGAAGGAAGTGCTTTGCCCCGGAAGAAGGGTCGCCCGAAGCTTTTCCTTTGTCGCGAGTTCTCAGAAGAAACTTGCTACCTTCTGCCAACCTTTCTTCTCCCCCCTTTTCCCCTCTCTGAGATAGCTTTCGCATGCTCGTCTTGTTCGCGTCCTTTCTTAGTTCGATTTTCATGTTCGGCTGTCAACGTTCGTTGGATCGTGAAATTTCAGCATTACATTATCGTGTCCCTTAGGGGCGAATTCGGATTTTGCACTTTGAACGTGGATGCAAATGATTCATTCACAGTGCGTAAAAATTGTTTTGATCTGTACAAATTTGATTCTAATAATTTTAATAATTTTTGCAATGTATATTTGCCTTTAAAGAAATATACAAATTTTCTCGAATTTTCTGTAAATTATAAAATAACATGCGTGAAATTTATACATAGCGACGTAATTTATATATTGCATTACAAACTTGATAAAATTCGAAAATTTTGAATATATTATCTATTATTGGAAATAATACGTAAATGTTACAATTATATCTATATATCAAAAAAAGATTTTTATTAAAAAAATATTCAAAATAAAATCATTTATATTTCAAAAAATAAAGAAATAATTACATCGAATATTAATGTGAAATTAATATAATTAATATTTAATTAATATTTAATTCAAACGTGATATAGATTCCATTTTGAAAATTTCAGATATTATTTTCTTTAAAAATATCATAATTTAGAAGAATTTAAAAGACCAAAAGAAAATAAAAAAAAAATTTGATTTCTTTATAACTAAAAATATCTTATTGTATATTCAAAGAGATCAATGAATAAAGTATGAATAAAGAATAAAGAGCCAAGCTTTGTTTTGATGAATTAAACGGATGATTCATCCTTAAAAGCGATGTCAAGTCTGCTCTGTACTCTAATTAATTGTGTTAAATGTGAAAATATTTTTTCGTGGAAAGATGAACATATCGAACAATACGATAAATTATACAATATGCAATTATAAAATAAATTTCCATTAATATTTGAGAAATTCCATTAATATTTAAATGAAATATTATAAAATTGCATCAATATTTTTAAATATTTTATTTTTATATTAAAAATATTTATAATATTAATATATGCATTTAAAATATAATAAAAATTTTTTATTTTCTCATTTATTATACGATTTCATCCATGAAATGTATTATTTTTTTCCTTTATAAATATTAGAAATATTAAATATTAAATTGTGTATAATAAAATTTTATTATGTAATTTTATGACATCATCAATTCATGTGTTGTGATATGAGTTGAAAAATCTGCACTACATTGAATTTACAATAATTAAGAATAAATGATATAAAAGCAAAAATAATATATAATAAACAATTAACATTTATCACTATTTAGAGCTCATAAAAAATAAGAAAATCTGAAAAGAATTTTATTTCGTGTCAAAAGTAAAAATCAGTTTTTCTTCACTGTGAAAACTAGTAAAATAAATTTAGTGAATTAATATGAACCCATATTCCAAGCTTTTATCTTTCGTATTCAACGACGAATGCAAGAATATTAGATAACCAAGAAAATTTCGTCGCTCTTTTTATAATAAAAATTTATATAATAAAATAAAGAATTATTTAGATATGTGCAACAGTTGTAAGTGATTTTTAACTTATGTCAGAACCGAATGTGTGATGAATTATATTTACAATTATGTATTTTTGCGTATATCTGCTATGTTTAATTATTATAATGAATTCACGAACCATTTCCAAAAAAATTTGTACAAAACAAAATAATAATATTTACGAATGAAAATTTCTTATGAAATTAATTTTTATTCATGTGAATTTCTTTTAGAACTGATGAAAAGTTTCAAGCCAAATGTTATAATTTGGAAAATTCAGTAAAAAATAATTTGTTGAGATTGTTATTGTGTAAATATTAAATGCAATTAAATTTAACATAAAGTAAATACAATACAAATTCAATTTTTAAACATTTTTTTTTATCAAGGAGAAAAATAACAATGAAAAAACAAAATCTTAATTGAACATACATTGATCAATATCAAATGTTATAATAATTCCAATTATAATAATTCTAAAAAAATAATGAATTATTTTTTTATGAATTCATAACAATGAATATTTTTTCTAAAATTTCTATCAGCCAAATACTTTCATCCAACTACTATTTCATTTTATCACTATTTTCTTCTTCGTGATATAAAAATGTAAAATATTATTATTATTTTTTTTTATATTTACTTTATATCACGCAATTTAGCATTTCCATGTGTTTTTTATTCACACCATATTCATTTTATGTTTTTGAAAACTACAATATTTTTAATGAATTTTATGTTACGTTGGGTGAATATTTTTTGTCAGAATAATATATAATTGTGTAAATTATATTAAACCTGGACAATCATCTCAAAAACTAAAAATAGAGAACATTTTGAAAAGAACTTTTTATTTCCTAAAATTTTTAACTTTCATAAAATTAGTTTCAATTTTTTGCTTGTTAAAAATAATAATTATTTTAGTGAATAAAGATTTGTTTTCTATATTTTTTGCATTTTTTTTTTTCATTACAAAAAACAATGAAATTTTTTCAGTTATCTAAGAAAATAAGATGACCCATTTAAATTAAATCATTCAAATATTTTCAAAATTATTAATGATAAAAATTATTTTAGATAAAATGATATAAATCAATTTTTCTTAATTAATATATAAAATATATATCAATTATAGAAAATCTTTATACAAAAGATTATTATTAAGCCATTTATATTACATTATGTAGCGAAAAATCATTCTTTTTGTCAAATTTATTACATGAAAAATAAGAAAAACATGCAAAGAAATACATGTTTATTTACTTTCTTCGTGTAATAAATTTTACAAAATTCAAATTTTACCTACAATTATATAATTACTGTATTAAAAAAATATATAATTCTATTTAAAGAATAAAATTGACCTTTTCAAAAAATTGACTTATATCACGTTATATATAAATTATTTATTTTTTGTCTCAAATATTCTTTAATGTCATCATTTTATCAATATACATAATCGTTCTTTATCTCGCAAAATAATCGTACGTTCAAACGAATATTATCGAATATTTTTTTCTACATGTCGCAGGTGCTTCTGTTTCCGGAAGAAGGCTGGGCGAGGAGCGCGAGCAGTTCCTACTGGACTTTGACGCCGTTCTGGTGGAGTCGAAGTCGATGCAAGGTGGTCGAAGTTGCTGGAACCAGAAGGTGAGTCTCGAATCGCGCCAAAGCGCCTCGAGGTGTCGAAGCGTCGTCACGTTGACGACGATAATACTATTGTTGCGATGTTAACTGGCTCGTTCAAAGAGGGCGCGAGCGACGCACGCCTATACAGTTACGACGTTTTACCATAACCGTATTCATGCCGGGAACGGAAATTCGTGCTTTTAGGCTACGTGGCCGGAATGTCTATGCCCTGCTCACCGCGTTTACTAGCCGAAAATTACAAGGACGATGCATCCGACATTTCACTATCCACTTATTTTCCCCCTCCCGAAGTATAGGTTCAGGTTCGTGGCCACATTTTCGGTGTGTTTCAACTTATCGCCACGTATTTCGCGTACTATTACGATGTTTCGATAATAGTTCAACTTTTCCATTATTCTCGAACTCGGAATTACGTTAATGTTGTTTAGCACGATAAACTTGTAATTTTGTTTAATATTAACTCGTGTTTCGTTTTGTGGGACAAGATTTTAATCGGAATTTGAAATTTGAAGAAATATAATATCTGTTTAAATATAATTAATTTTTCATTCATAAGGAGAATGAAGAGTGGAAACCTAACCTAAGATGTTGATTTTACGAATCAATGAAGAAGCTATCAACAATTTTTAGAAAACTTATTCTTCTTGGATGATTGATACCTTCTGGTTCTTAGAGGTATGATTATTGATATATTATCGATGTCTGTTTTGATAATTTTTGATATAGCAATGATATCGTTAAGATATCATTAACGGATAGAAATAATTAGAGTTCGTATTTTTTCGTATTCGAAATTATTATTAAGGCATATCATTAAAATTATTATTTTTAATAAATTTCAATAAAAATAAACTGGCTTTATTAAAAAGTTATTTATTGTAGTTATATATTGGAATTTCAGTTACATCTATTAACGATATCGATAGTTAAAACTCGATATATGACTATTATCTCAATTTTATAATATTGTACAGTTACTTAAATAAATCTTAATTTTAATGAAAATTTATAATGGCTTATATGTGATATAATAATTTCTTTATTAACGAAAAATTTCTTTGAAAATGTAAAATCAACATCTAAAATATTTTTCCATTTTTCAAATACAATTTTGAATCGAAAATTTTGTTCGCAACAATGTCAGAACATTGAAATATTATACACTTTTTAATAAATTTTGTTCTATCGCACATTATTACAAAATTATATTTAAAATAAATGAAGAAGTCACAGAAACTTTGAACGTGATGATTTCAAATATTATTTCTCTTTAAAATAATATCTGCTAAAAAAAAATTACCTCATATACATACAATCCATTCTACATATTTAGAAAGTTCCATTAAAAGTAATGAAAATTTTATATTTTTTCATATTTTAAAAAATTAAAAAAAAATTTTATACTTATAAAAATTAATTTTAAGATGGAAACGAATAAAATGAAATATTTATTCCTGCTAAATTATAATTTTCAAATTATAAACATATTAGAATAATTCAAATTCTAATCAATTACACATTAATTCCTCATATTCCAAAAATACAATTATCTTTCTATTTTTCATCATTATTTATTACTTTGCTTCTCAAAAAAATTTATTTAAAAACATTTTTGACACGATTAAATGTACGTTAGACGAGCTCATGTGTAACAGTTATAAGAATTTCATTTCCTCCAGTAAAGGAAATATTCGACTTACAAACACATGCTGAATTTTATCCCATCGTCGCTGTAGAACATTCGAACGATATTCAACGGAGGATTGACTCGCGTTCCGTAAAATTCGCGGTTGAATTCGCATTTTGGAAGCAAAATTGAAGATGTTGGGGTTGGATATTGGCGGCGAGGGAGACGAAATATTCCGCCTAGTAATTTTGACGGTCGTTCGACGGGCATCGAGGCCGCGTTAAGTCAAGGCAAACAAACCGGCGGGGATGGATCCTCGATTCAAACCGTTTCCAACTTTCGTACAGGGGAGTAAATACGTTACTGTTTGCGAGTTCGGACCACGTTCACACGCGACAATGGTCAAAGCTCGCGATCTCTCGTGCTTTGAAATCTTACTCGCGTTGATTATGGATGATTATGGACTATTTTGAGATTGAATCATTAGTTTAAAATTAATAGGCATAATATATTGGTCGGGTGAGAAGTAATGCATACTTGAAAGATAAAAAGATTTTCTTAAAATATTTAAGAAAATGAAAGTGCAATTTATTAGCTAAACAATTGTATGCTTATTTTTTAAAATTTTCTCAACGTGTTTCTTCATTCTATCATTCAAATTCCAGAAATACGTTTTAAATTCGAAATTGTTCACAGTGAAATGAATAGATGATATTCTTTTAAAGTCGAGATATAAGAGAAACTAGAAATTACAAGATTTCGCTGAATTAGATTGGTATGTGAAATAATATAAAAATAATTAATTGAATTAATAATAATTGAATTTAAAAGTGATTCAAAGATTGAAAAATTATCGATTTCTTTTATCGAAAAAATGAAACTCTCGAAAATATACAACACTAATTTGAAAAATACTTATCGAAAAAAAATATATTCTCTCTTTTATTCTTAGAAAAGTAGAAAACTGTAAAACAATCTATGATTTACAATGTTTCTCAAAAATAATGCAATGTAATGCAATGAAATTTTATATGTATATCAAAATTTAAATAAAAACTTATTGAAAAGTATTATTCCTCGTCGAAAAATCATGAACAAATATTTTCATTATATTATTCTTCTACTTGAAGAGAATAAGCATAAATTTTTGAAAAAATTCCTTTTTATTGTCAGATTAAAAATGATTAGGAATGAAATAACTTCAAAGCGATATATCTTAACAAAAAAGATTCTTATAGAATAATAATTAAATCAAATTTACAGAAGGATAATATTATATGATAAAGTTTATTATATGATAAAAATATTAGAAAAAGTCATCGTTTAATACTTATATGATATTTGGAATATTCTAGAAGAAGTATACTTGTTTTTTGGTATATTAAACAATTATGGAAAATCTAGATAACAAAAGAGGAGCTTCAAAGTTTATTATACATATATAAATTGATTTATTTGTTTTCGAATAATTATCGAATTATTGGCTTAGCCGATTTTTAATAATTTTTAATAATCTGCGAGCATATACTTACATAAGTTTTACTTCAAACTTGAAAAAAATATACCAGAAAGTTGATGTAATGCAAAAGATTTTAATATTTACCCTAATAAGTTTTTCCGTATTTTACTTTTCATCCTATCTGTGCTTAACTATTATAATTTTTAAAACAAACTTTAAAGCTACTTATTCAACATTTTAGACAATTGCTAATATGAATAAAATGTGAATGTTTACTTTTTATAGAAGTTCTCTAAGTAAATGTTAAACAACTCAAAGAGGTTAAAAAAGAATTTTAATTTAAGATATATTTAAGAATAACTATTAAAAGTTAATTTCGACCAGCATTTTTTATTAATGAATACTGCATTTCATAAAAGTTATCATTTAACATAATACATACAATATACTTGAAATTTTATTCTTAAATGAATTTTTACTTTACTTTACATTCCTTGATTTTTATTTTGATTTTTATCATCTTTATCACTTGAAAAATCTTTCAACAAATTATACAGAGTTATATGTATATGCATCAAAATTAAAACTCTTAACTCGTGCAATAAATAATTATTTAAAAATTAAATTGATTGTTATGAAATATATATATATATATTGTTACAAATATATTTATAATAGAAAAGTGAGGATGATAAGATTCAAATCTTCTTCCTTTACGTTGTTTCTATAATACAATTTATTATAAAAGTTTCTGAATTTTTTTGAACACATCTTTTATATTAAATGTACATTAAATATATATAATAAAAATTTAATTAAATTTCTTAAAAATAAATACGTAAGAACATTTTTTCTTATTTTAAAAAATTTGAGTGAAATAGAAAAATTTAAGCAATGATTTTAAACACTAAAACATACATATTGGTATGTAAAAATATTGAAATTTATTTTTTAAATTGCTTTTCAAGCAATTAATTTCATATATCTCTTTCTTCATCTAACTATTTTTCGCTTCATCTAATATAAAATTAAATTGCTTATAACTTGAAAAATAAACTTTAATAGACTTCTTTGCATACAAACTTTTATATATATATTTTTAATTTCTAGAATCTTTCAAGTTTTCTATTTATTTGAATATTTTGTCTAGATTTTAATAAAAAATATCTGAAGAAATTTTTAAAATAATAAATTTTAAAAATTAATATGTGAAGTATTTCACAGAAAAATAATATTACACAGGCATTCTTTTTGAATATTAAGTAATTTTACATTACATTACATTACAAAATATAATTTTAATAATTTGTATTGTATTTAAAATGTATTTAATAACATATTGTTATTTAATTTAATAATTATTAATTTTACAACATTAATATTTTATTTCATAATTCCAACTCCAATTACTTTAATAATAAATACGTTTCATGCAATTATCGTTTCCAATCGTAAAGCATTTATCCAATCATTTGTTTTTTTCGTTGTATTATCTTTTATACATCCGATACATCGTTTTCATCTTAAGATCTTTTACAGTTACAATTTTTATCGTAATCGTTGATTCTTTATATTTTTAATTATTCTATTTTTAAATTGTACCTACCTGAAATTAATTACATAATATTCAAAAAATGTTGTGAAAAAAAATTATTAGAAATTCTTTCAATCTATATATTGTGCAATAAGCATATTAAAATATGAACTTATTTTTATATTTCATTTATATTCAAGGTAGCAAGTTAGAAATTTTTAAAATCCATTCAAATATGTATTAAGCACGATCTAATTAAACTTTTATTTGTGAATACAATATATAATAAATTAACAATTATAATATCAAATAGATATTTTAGATAATATATCTCGTTCACTAACTATCTCTTTTGAATTTATCTTATTTTGTTTTAAATG